TTCACGATAAATATCCGGCGAGAAGCCTTCCGATCCGATATCCGCCTTTCGCGGATTCTTATCGAAATTTCGAGTTTTAACGCAATAACCGGCGAGATGCGACGTATCGCGCGCGCGCGCGCGCGCATGTGAAAGGATAGAAGAGGATAAACGACTCGGGTAATTGATTCGGATGTTCATCCGGATCGGCGCGGAAATACGCAATTTGCAGCGGCAAATTAAAGTTCCTTCGCCGACCGAAATGGAAAATTTAACACGTCGATTCGTCTTCTTCGCATTATCGGCACACATATATTCCGGCCCGGGGAGGACACTTGTGCCCCGTCGCCGGCGCTTGATAAAATTGATTTGCCGTTATCGTGATGTGTATCGCGCCGTTACGAAAACGACGGATCTACGGGGCGATTTTTCAGCGCCGCCGGAGTGTCGTAAGTCGCGCGGGGAAACCCGGCGAGAGTAATTCGGAGAGCAGAAACGCCGCGTGTTCCCTTATTCGATTTTATCGGCGCGGTGCGTCGAGGCCGCAATTTCGCGCGGTTTGGGCGCAGCCGGTTCGTTTCAATTAACGGTAACGTCGTTTTCTGGACTCTACAAAAGGCATCGAGCGCGAACGTCGCTACGGCGACGTTCGAATGGCGGCGGAAAAAAAGAACGCCACCGCGCGCTCATGTGAGAGGCGGCTATGCGCGCGTAATCTACAATTATCCACCCCGTGCGAATAATGGCACAGCAGAAACAGCGACACAAAAACTGATACGACTGGATTCCGGCAGACACCGGCGCCGAAATTGTATGTAGCGCGCGTGATCAAACTTGTCGGGCCGATCATAAATTTTCCATCAAATACGGCCAGGTGATTTTTGAATGGGCGCACATTGTAACAACGCGTACCGTAACATGACACGTTCTCACGTGCACACATTGAATCGATCGCCTAATTTCCGTCATTTATTAACCCTAATCGGACCACGACCATAATTGCGAAGTTTTGACGAGAGCGAACATGAATTTAAAGTAAAATACGACAAAATAAAATGCGAAATAAAAGAGGGACCATACAGAAATAAAATAATATTATTTTCATTTGGGAATTTCATTTGTTTTTATGCATGTAAAACGTATGCCCCACACACACACACACACACACACACACACACACATACACGCGTGCGCACACGGACAATATCGAAGCATCAGTGACTAATGTCCGTTGAATGATTCATTTCCTACTTCCTATCCATCGGAGCGGCAAATCCCCGAAGATTTTCGCTAGTTTCTCCGTCTCTCCGAGCATTATCAATTTAAAGTGTTTTTTCCTGGGCTTTGCCAAGTTTTCCAGACTTCTAACGATACCGCCAGCAAGAAAGGGAAGAGCAAACAGCCAAGGTAAATGCGAAATAAAGGAGAAATGACGTAAAAAAAGAGAAAGACAAAGAGAAAGCGAAAGAGAGAGAGAGAGAGAGAGAGAGAGAGAGGGAGAGAGAGAGAACGAGAACTTGAAAGCCCAAGCACGGACAGCTCGTGCACAGAAAATCATTGTCCGCGAAGCTCGGCGAGTGCTCCCATCACGGGCTTATTTTCCCGCTATTTTCGTCGCCCGGCGCACGATGGAGCGGGGGGAGAGGTGATGGAGGAGGGATGAGGGAAAATAGCAGAAGCTATAATCAATCGATCAAGCCAATCGAGCGTATCGGCTCGCGGTTTCGTGTGATTCTCTATCGGTGCGGCGCGGCGTGCAGCCTCGGTACCAGCCGAGGAGAGCGAGTTTATAGCAGCGCCGCGTGTGCTCGCGAGCGTAGAGAACGGAGGGCCACTCAGAATCTGACAAACCGTGATAAATATATTCGCCGTGTGGCGTGCAGCACCGGCGCGAGCGCGCGCGCGCGCGATGTATGATAGGGCGCGCGCATTGTTCCGGAGAAAAGCAGCGCTGGTACCTTCGCGGCGCGAGATAACGCCGCCGCCTCGTTTCTCACTACATAAACTCATCCGCCGCGAACGCAGCGACGTACGCTCGGCAACAGATCGAACGCGTTTGGAAATCTCGTTACTCGCTAACGCAAATCGAACGGCGATCCGGGTCAATCGAAGCGAACCGACCTCGAGAGAGTGACGCGAGAGAGCGAATGTGTATAAAAAAGAGAGAGAGAGAGAGGGAGGGGGGAGGGGAAGGAGAGAAGAGAAAAAGTTTGCGAGGTGGAGGCAGAACTGATTTCCTTCTTTTTCGTCTTCCTATACACGCTCGCTTCGTATTCCTTGTGGATCCGCCTGGAGGCGCTTCGATCTTTATCACTGACTTGTCTCGACAACTTTCAACTCTCCGAGACAGTGAAAGGGATTATATATTATTATATAAGATTATATATAATTAATATACATGAGCCAGAGAGAAGGAAAAAGTTTGAACCGATCGAATCGGCGTGACGACGAGCGTGACCGAGCGCATTTTGGCGCGGATGGGAACAGAATTTCCGATGACACTTTTCTCTCTCCGCGTAAAACGTCTACATGAAGTAAGCCTGTTTTACATAATTACACAAAGAAACACAGAGCGGCCTGTGGAGAGAATTTCCCAGACGAGTCGCGTTAGCGAACGTAATAACTTGGACTTTCGGATAACTTCGCGGGGCTAATAATCGAGTTAGGCTCTCCTGGACCGCGGCGTTAGAAGCGAGGTGTCGCGTGTACTCGAGAAAATTCTCGCGAATCTATCCGAGTGCAATGCGCATATATATAACACGAGCGCTCGAGAATCGCAATTGGAATATTATTGCGTGATATCCCGATCATTCGAATATCGGGGCCGTTTGATATTCGGCCTCCGTGCGTCACACAGACCGAGAAATGCGCGGCGTAGGAATCCGAACCTATTTAATACGAATAGCGAGCCGAGGGGGAGAAATCGAGCCGCAAATGGAACTCGCCGGATCGACGTAATCACAAGAGCGGTGTAATAACACATCTTCTCCCCGAAGTCCTTCGGAGCGTAACGCGACGCGTGTCGAGCGGCGGCCGGTCGTCCGGCCGATCGGCAAGTCGATCTCGAAGGCGTCGCCTTACGCTGTGTTACACGTGTGAAAAGATGATTAATCATCGGCGTTGCTACGCGCGACTAACCAGAAATCGCCTTTTCTTCGATAAGTATCAACAGTGGCGGACGCGCGAGGTGTTGTATGGAAAAGCAGAGGGAGAACTTGGTCTATAGATAAACGACGCGGAACGCCGGTGAAACTTATTACGGAGTTCCACACTATGAAACGCGCGATGTAGATAAACGATGTCCCTTTCACACGGCCGTCACACGCCAGCTCGTTCGAGAGAGAGAGAGAGAGAGAGAGAGAGAGGGTGTGTGTGTATGTGTGTGTGCTTTGTTTCTTGAAATTAAATTATACTCCAGTTGCTACAGTGAAACACATAAATTCTCCGACTCGCCTGTAAATGGCAAGTCGTCGGATGATCCCCAAATATTTGCGCCTGCTCATCGGATATACGCGCGAGAACAGGCTGCTGATTTCACCTCGTCCTTTAGTAAGTAGCCGAGTCCCTTAAACTCGACAGCACCGCCCTTCGGGGCGGTTTGCTTCTCTTTGGAGCCTCGACTCGTCGAAAGTTGGGTTTTGCGAGCCCTTCGATCCGTAGCCGTCTACATCCTCGGAGAGATTCTGCGACCTTATGGTACCTTTGAGTTTTCACATTGTTGAATTCTCGGATGCTCGAAAGCTTCAAGTAACAAACGGTCTCCTCGATACCTCGTGCCTGCCAACCTTTGACGTCGTATCTTGCCGAACTGGCTCCCGGATGCCGAGTCGAGTCGAGCGGCGGTCCTTATATATTGCATCCCCGAGATATTTTTTGTCACAAATTTGTGCCACTGCACACGACGACGTTGCCAACGTCGCTTTAAAGGGCACCGAACGATATAAATCAGTCGATTATCTTCATGTCACCGGTCGCGCGTAACTTCCCCTGGGATATTCCTCATCCAGCCAGCAGAGAGAAAGAGAGTGAGAGAGAGAGAGAGAGAGAGAGAGAGAGAGAGAGAGAGAGAGAGAGAGAGAGAGAGAGAGGTCAAAGGGGAGAGAGGAAGAAACGCGCAAGGGAGTTTACGCGAATCTCTCCAGCCATTACATTACACGCTTTCGCTCTTTCGGCCCGTTTCGGAGCGGCGCGGAGGCAGCGCCGCTTCGGGATCCGCAGGAGGAGCGACACTATACTTCCGAAAGGATCCTAGTTTACTTCGCTCTCAGCGAGTTGCAGTCACTCGGCTGGCAATCGAGAACAGGATTATCCAATGCCGAGGCAAACATCCGTATTCTATAACGTCGTGAGCGACATGATGAGTCCGCTATCGTTCTCCGATAGACTTCGGGATCAGAGTCCAATCTTGGGGAGAAGAGGCTCGTCCCAGCGTTTCGACGTTTACGGTTTAGGAAGGAAGAACGATGGAAGTTTCTGTCGGAACTTGATATCGCTCCGTGGAATGCTCGGCTTCGTCGACGTGCCGATTATGTTACGGGGAATGTAAGACATTCGCCGCTCGGGAAAGTACTTCGTGCTAAATCACTTATCCAAGAGCGTACGTCGATTCTATGCCATAAGGCTTCGCCGTTTTCTTTTCCATCGCTGTTATTCCTTTCCTTATTTATCGCTGGTTTCTCTATTTCTCGTAGCGAAACACCAGACAAATGCGCTTTTGTTCTCTCCACCAATATTTGCCCCGTTGTATTTTGCGGAGCGCCACGAGAAACACGAAAGTTTCTCTCGATGCTCAAATAATAACAGCATAAAACCATAAAGCGCACTCGCAGACGGCCATTGCAAATAAGCGATACTGCGTCGTAAACGTCTCGGGCGTGTAAGTCCTCGTTACGAAATCACGCCACGGCGGACGAGCCGGTATTGGCCATGCGACGTTACACACAAGAATCGCAAACAGGGAATCCCCTCGTATTTGAATAATTTAAAATGTAGATTCGCCCACCGGCTGTATTGTTTTGCAGGTCTCCTTTTTCTCGACGAGCCCGGAACTCTCCAACAAGCAACGCTTCGAGTATTTCAGCCGTACCATACCCAGTGATCACTATCAGGTCAAAGCGATGGTCGACATCGTATTGAAAATGGGCTGGAGCTATGTTTCCATCATATACGAGGAGAGCAACTATGGCATAAAGGTGAGCACACTTGCGCGTAATGTCCCATTTTAAATTCATGGATAGTGCTCGCCTGCTCGAGAAGAGGAGGCGGTATGTACAACGAACATTACTATTATCGTCGTGTGTTTTGCATTTTGCACACGCGTATTTATTCTGTTTTCTCTTGATTGTAGACACACGCACACACACACACACACACACATACATGGTGCGCACGGGTAGAGAGATAACATTTTCGTTGCACAATTCGTGCGTTTTTCGCTTCTCGTCGCGTTGAAATTAATTAAAAGCTCAGCGACCAAATATTTTCCTTACTAACGCGACATAAATATTTCGAGGACGATTGACACGGCGAGTCGAGTTTCGCGGGAGTTTCGCTTCTCGAAGATGAAGTCTTTTTTACATTCGAAAAAGTATATTTCACTCCGAGACGAAATATCATCTCGCTGGGATATTATTACTGCCGTACGACGCGCGAAGCTTTCAAGCTAAATGGAACTCTCGGACGGAAAAATGCATGAATGTTGAATAAATTAACGTGAAAGCTCGATAAATTCACCGATCGCCTCTCTCGTAAACGCACGTAATCGATGAGACGTGAAATTAACGAACACTTGGTACGATTATGTTATTACATCTGTATTAATCGCGTAAGGAAATATTTCAGGAAGGACTAACTGCGTTACTCTCGTTTGAATCTGGATGATTCTTAATTTCGTTAAAACCACATCCCGGGGAGTGTTGTCCCAAGATCGTGTCTTCTTTGCGAAGACAATGTTATATCCGCGACGCGACACGGCATTAGAAAGGTAGAAGACAATGCTTCTCTGATTACAATCATTTGCAACTCAAGTATGGCTGTTTCAGCACAACATTTTCTTACAAGATTATCGGATAGCTTAGAGAGTCATTCCATCGCGGTGAAAACTGAACGTATACCGCATGCTACGCGACTCGATGCAACAATGCGAAATTAAACTCGCATCACGAACGATGTACGACGCGTTACGCTAAAACAATCGCTGGAAAATCGTTCCGTTTAAATAAGCCTGCGTGTAATTACGGTATATTTGTCGGTTGTGTGTCGCGCGTGCGTGTATATCTATACGACGGATACGCGGATCAATAAATTGCAATACCCGTTGGAAATAAACAGGGAACAACGAGAATAAATAGTGCCGGGGCTTTATTCGCTAACGTGACTCATTATAATAATGCACAATAGCGCGCAAATGATTTCGTCTCGCCGTCCTCTTGAAAGTCCTCGTCCCAATACCTCTGCTCTCGCTCGCAATCCGACGAATATTTAGCGTTACGCGAAAACGTCACGGTATCTCTCTCCCTCTCTTTCTCTCTCTCTCTCTCTCTCTCTCTCTTTCTCTCCCCCATTTCTTCCTCTTTCTCTATCCCTCGTTTGTTCAGGGTTTGCGATAATCAAATGATTTCGCTCGAAAGAAACCGCCCGGCTTTCCCTCTTCTTATTTTTTCCCCCTCATCATCTTTCTTCTTCTTCGTAAACGCTCCATTCCGACGTGCGTTGCATTGCCCTTCGCTATCTCAAATCGCTAATCAAAAAATTTTACGCCTTGCGTATATCACGATCGATGGTACGCGCGCCGGTTGCTCGCAATTAAGACCTTTTTGACTCACCGATCGAATACAAACCGAGTTATTTTATTTGGTCGAACGACAGACGCCAGCGAAAGGCAACGTGAACTTTCGGGGATGTTAAATTATTATGCGATATCGATCAAAATTCTTCTCGTGAATAAACGACTGAATAAAATATTTGTTAAGCATAAGCTCCCCGCTTGCATGCACGCCAGTCGTACTTTTAGACATCGCCGTTGTTGTTATTTCTTCATGATATTAATACGCGGACTCTTTTCTCTCTTTTTCTCTCTCTCTCTCTCTCTCTTTTATATGGCCTGTTATACACAAAACGGATACATCATGATATCCGACTGCGTAGTGCATAAACGGAAACTTGACATCGCCGCTACAGCGGTTACAGGATATTGGAAACTGTAAATACGATAACAGACAATCCAACGCCATTTCTGCCATTTTGATCCGCGCAGCGGACTATTATCTATCGGTTAGCTGCCCGAGTCTCAAATTGTTTTTTCGATAACAGAAATGCTAGATAACGTAAATGCGACGAAAATGCGTTTGCACCGGAATTCACGCGATGCAAAAAATATTAAGCTCCATCAGCAAAATAACACCGCATCGATCTGAAGCACACATCGGGCGAAGCGCGTTTCTACTTTCGACCGACGTAACATCGTCCGACACGACGTCGGTATTATAGAGAGAACTCGTAATCACGCAAATTATGCGATAAAAGCGAGGCGTGAGAGCAACGCAGGAGAAGATGAAACGAAAAAAAAAAAACGAAATGAAAATGAAATGATGAGGCAGGAGAGAGAGAGAGAGAGAGAGAGAGAGAGAGAGAGAGAGAGAAAAAAAAAAGAGGGTATGGGAAAGGGCGGGAGAAAGAGGCAAAGTTCTAGCGACGGGCTTAGGTGCAATCGCGGGGAAGAGTAATAGCTAGCAAAAAAGGATATTTTCTGCCGTGGTAACTCGGAGCGGCTTAACGCTACATTATAACGATAAACGTCGGGTTAATATGAAAGAACGTTACTTAGCGCGGAATACCGTGCTCCTCGCATTCGCAGGTGACTCGGAAACTAACGTGGCTGATGAACATATAATCGAGAGATATATCACGGCAGACTCTAATTTGCCGGATGAGAAAGCAACGGCGGGCTTGCAATGGCGCTCGTAACTTTATCGTCGAAGCGAGAGTCCGCAATCGGCGAGTTGCGCCCGCGTCATGAAAAATGCATAGCTGTCTCCTCCTACGACACTTTACCGCGAAATATTTTCCGACGCGCGTGTGTATGTGTGTATATGTATATCATATACATAATACATAAAACACGCGTGCGTGCTGTCCCTTATTATTTCTATAATGGATCCTATCCCGGCATTTGTCTCGCGATCGAAAGACGCAAAGACGTGGGGCTGCCGTGAGAGACGTCAAAAGCGAGTATTCCTGACAAATACGGACAAGGATAAGGGATCGAGCCAACGCATCGCTCCATTGTTACATCGAGAGGAAAATGTGAAGATGAAACTCCAAATGCACTCGGAATATATACACGCGCATATATATATATATATATAAACATACATTTCAAGAAGAATTGAACTTTTTATCGCCGCAAGGCAGAGACCCGAAACACATTTCATGAGAAGATATTAATATCCAAGCACTCGTTTCTGGAAAGACTGTCCCCCGAGGTATCTGCAGTTGTATTTTTACGACCCGGGGCGACGCGACGGAAAATGGGAAGATTCATTTGAGTCGCCTATCATTAATAGGTCACGCAATGAGAGGTACGAGTGGACGGAGGAAGAGGGCGAGAGAGAGAGAGAAAGTGACGTTACATCGGAGCATTATAAAAATCGTGACTTTCGATTGACAGAGACGAAAGAACGAGGAGCAGTAGCCGACGACGGGGAAATAAAGGTGTTAAATAGCGAATTAGTGAGTAAGTAATGCTCGTTACACCGTGTCGTTTAATAATAGTCCGTCATAAATCGCGCAAGCGGAACATCACGAAGCTCATTAGCCGCACGTGAGCTCGCGATCACGATGAAATTACGCGTCACGTAAGAGGGCAACTCTGAGGGGGGGGGGGGGAGAGGGTTCTGATAGCTCAGCGCAAAACATCGATACTTACGAGAGGGGGGATCGATTCTTTCGCTAGCGGGCGAGCATGGACGACGATACGAGCGGAAGCACACAGGAAACCGTGGCAAGAGCGCGAGCAACGGGAATTTCAGCGATAAATTATCTCCCGCGGTGCCGATGTACTCGTCTAACTTCCAACTAATTTTCATCCATTAGCGCTTGGCCGTCTCCCGTCGTAATTAACATTGCCATTAAATTACCGACGGTCAAATAGCATGAGGCCGCAAAAAAGAGTCAGTTTTCACGAGAAGGCGCGCGTGAACGGCGAATATGTGGCAGAAAGAGAGAGAGAGAGAGAGAGAGAGAGAGGAGGGAGAAGGAGAAAGAGAGATTCGAATTACGAGGAGAACGCAATCGCGGTCGCACGGCGCACAACGACGGGTGGTGTTCGACGGCGGTCGGCGAGTATGAAATTTGCGCGATCGCGGGATTCGTCATGCAATTGTCGCGTTTGCGAGTAAAACGCGATGATCGATGCGCGCGTTAAATTAATATCCCGCGAGCGCGCGCGGAATCGTACGCGCGACACGTACGAGCGACGGCAGTTACACGCGGTCGCATTTGGGGAAAGGTCGAAATACCATTTCTCTCCAACTATTGCCTCTCGTAAAGCCGCAACGGCTGGCGACACAATCAAAAGAAGGTTCTGTTGTGACGTGCTATTATAACGCGGCTGATCAGAATTTCATTAGCGCCAATCAGCGTTCCCGCGCGCGTCAAGTGGCATTTCGCCGAATTTACGACACGACGCCGTGCGAGCGAGCGAGTGAGCGAGCGAATGAGCAAATTAACGCAAGAAGAAAATACGTAGAGAAACCGTCGTGCTCTTCTCTCTGTGTTTCTATCATCTTTATCTCTCTTCAGCTGCTTCTCGCGATCACAATACGACGATCGATCTCGCACAATCGCAAGTGGCATTGCCGCGCGATACAGCGAGCGTAATCGGCGTTATCGACATGTCGAGAATAATAGATTGCTCGGCCCGGCTGAGTGCCGGACGTGGTTTCGTTTGCACGCTCGAAAAAGCCGCGTAAAGACAGCTCGACGGTGACTTTTACGCATTGAAGCAGCGATCAATTATCACGAGCCGCAGCGAGGAGTTCTTGCACGCGAGCTGTCCGAGCGCTGGTGCAACAATCGAAATCTCGCGCGGCGCGCAGATCGAAGTGAAGGTGAACATTTCGCTATTATTGCTTATTTACGGTGGAAACGTGTCTCCTGCGGAACAGCGGCCGCTCGGTGGTGGCGATCGATAGGGAAAAAATGCTCAAGCCGAGCAGCGGTGCAACGGTGAAGAATTATCAATGAGAGACGTACGAGCGCACTTTGCCGAGAGATTTCGCACCGATACTCGGAGGAACGCCGCACGAGCGAGACTCGTCAATCTTTCAGCGTGCTCCTTGAAAAATTACGAAATACACAAAACCTGCGGGACACGCGGAGCGTGAAGTAAGTACTGGGGTTCGATGGAATACGAAAATTCCTGGGAGAAAGACCGAGGAAGATCTCAGGTCTATTGAATATTTAAGACTTCCGAAAGACTTTCTCCCCGCACAACCGCTCCCTAAACTTTCGCCTCCTATCCCCTCGAGATATTGCAGCCACCTTTTCGCGAACCCTCCCGGAGAATCCAGATTGTGGAACACTCTTAATAACGTAGGATATTTAAACTCCTCGGCGTACATTTAAAATCGTCGTTCCATGCCCAACCCGATCGACTTTATCGTCGCTTCATCATATTACCGGCCCCGCGCCGGCGCGTTTTGAAGGAATCGGCGAACTCGGAATTGTCAGGAAGGAATTGTCAGGCTTGAGCGCGAGCGGAGTCAATGCGCGCGGCGATGTCTAAAGCCGTTTGAAGATTCCTCGAACAACGGACACGAATCTACTCGCTCGCTCGCTCGTTGCTCGAGATATCATCTCCTGCTCGCGATATCAACGAGCAACAGCAGAAAGCTAGCGCGTATAAGCGATTCTAATTTATTATCGGCGGGACACACGCGAGCGGACGACTCGAGTGTCCTTCGCGGCCGGTGGAGTCTCTAATAACGGGGTATCTTTAATGCCGTGAGATTGGCATTTACGTGCACCACCAATTCAATTCTCACGCGAGCCGAAACAAGGGCCGACATTACGGCGTCCTATCGCGTCCCGCGGTAATGAAGGAAGGACCGCGATATGAATGTATAATACGTACATGGGAAGTTCGCGAGCCCCGGCCCTCCGGCCAGGTGGCTTAATTGCTAATTTATCGCGATTCTTGTAATAACGGAGGTGTGAATAATCCGCATTGGCCGGGAACTGACTTGTGTGCGCTGAACTTCTCGAGCGCTATCGAGAAATGAGAACTCCGGAGATCTTTCGCATTGGAACGGTCGGGTGAATTAGACGACCGTGTCGAAATTAAAGAGTCTCTTGGCAACGAATGGAAGACATATGGAGTATGAGAGTTTTTACTTTCTCTTATCACAGAGAGAGAGAGAGAGAACACCGGGAAAGGTTCGGGAAACGGCCAAAAACGTTCCGAGAAAGGAACTCATATTCTTCTGTAACTATGTTCTCCCATGCGATGACGCAGCCAATCGATAATACTATACGATTCGCGACGAGATTGGAAATCGACGATCTCGACGCGACTCACGGATCGCATACGGAAAATACGCGTGGAAAGAGAGAAAAGCCGAATGAGAGAGAGAGAGAGAGAGAGAGAGAGGAGAGAGAGAGAGAGAGAGAGAGAGGGAGAGAAAGGGAGAGAGAGGGAGAGAGAGAGAGAGAGAGCAAGCGAGAGAGAGAGAGAAAGGGGGAAGAGAAAGCGGTGTAGCTACGAGCGGATCGATACGAGCAACTATATATACGATTTCGCGGCATGAACGGAACATTTTTCAACGAGCGGTCGAAAGGCAAAAGCGCGGAACAAACTGGGATTTTTATTACGAATATCCATTTGTCCGACAAAGTAACGGAGTTTTTCTATCTCGCTATCAAACCGGCCCGCGGAAGTCAATCTCGCGGCATTCATTTTGTGACCAATGGCACGTGAGAATCCCCCGACGATGCGAATTCGACTGGATATTACCGTTCTTCAAGTGTCACAAGGCAATTTTCCATCCGGTTATCGGAGAGCGAGTGTAAATATCGTACGGAGAGTCATCGCAGTTACAATTCGATGGATCGAATCGATGGAACTTCCGGTGTCCGAGGTCTCTCGAGGATCATTTGAAATACTCGATGGGCTACTTAGCAAAATAGCCGAGAGCGAAAAGACGAGAGGAGAATGACGCGGCGGTCTCATTGTTTCACGTGCGCGCTTCTTCGCGCCTTCAGAGAACACAGACGTCGACGCGGCGATTTCCGTTATACCGTCAATGCGACTTTTTCTTTCTTCGTATAATTCATCAAGGGCGCGGAATCTTGAGATGTTTCATTTAAAGCTTCCTTCCATTAAGGTGTCTCTCCGCCTCTCTCTCTCTCTCTCTCTCTCTCTCTCTCTCTCCTTCCCTCTTTCTTCTATGCTCGCATTCGTTCTCCACCGCGCACTCATCTTTCTTCCGAAAGACCTCAAAGCACCGCGAGCACTGTTCGATGAAGGCTGCGCGAGCGAACGCGCATTAGACGCGCGATGCTTTGTTGGAAACGTCTCGGAGAGAAAGTGCATCCCTCTTTATCCTTCTGTGTTACAGGCTTTCGAGGAGCTTGAGGAACTGCTCGGGAAACATAACATATGTATCGCCATCAAAGAAAAGCTGGTAAAGGACTCCGGGGTCGCCGAGGAGATCGCCTACGACAATATAGTTTCGAAACTGCTGACAAAGCCACGAGCACGAGGTAAAATGGGGACTTCTTCGTAAGAGCGAGCGGCGGGCGAATTCGCGGGCAGAAGGGCAGAAATCGGCCGTCGCCCATTAAACGCTCCTCGCGGCGAAAAGTTTTTCTTCCCCTCCCTTTTCTCTCGTTCGGATTTCTATCACACAAGTCGAACGCGAGCGAGTATAGAATTTCTTTCGCGACCGGGAAAGATCCCCTCGGCATTTCTCGACACTCGCGCAGTTGGCTCCCACGCGACGGCACGCGGTTAAAGTTTAATTTTACGATTTGCTGGATGAGGAGAAAAAAATCTCCGAGCGAGAACTCTGGATTTCAGAGCGCGCTTCTGAAAATTTAAACTCCGTGAAATAGAATCCGCGAAACGTGCGCGGGCGGGCGGGCGAGGGGGAGGGGCGGGAGAAAAGGCGACATCCGCCGCCGTCTCTCTCCTGACAAGTTGGAAATAGACGAGATCGAGATGGGTCAGAACGAATTAACGACGACGGTCTATAGAACAAATTGTACGCTTGTGTTATCAAGTTACTCGAGAGTTTGCGCTTGAAAATGAAATTTTCTTCGCGAGATCCGCCCGATCGCGTGCAGAGAGCTGCGGTCGGACGCCGGTTGAAGCTGAGATCGATGCAAATATCGAGAATCGTCCTCAGGACCGCCCCGGGAATGCATTTCCTTTCTTCTTCCCGTTGCCTTTTCGTCTAAATTCCAAACCGACGGGGATATACATCGACCGAGAAATAAACCGTGGGAGGGGGATCTTAATCGACGTTTCTCCGATAATCCGCACTTCAATGCGGGATAAATGCCATTAAAAAAGATTCCTTCCAAATTATTATCGAGCCTTTACGCCGACTCGACAGGCGACTTTCCTCGTCCGCACGTAAGCGCGCGATCCTCATCCTTCTGGTCAGCGCGAGACGTTCCCGAAATACGGACAAATTTCGAGGACAATGGGGAGGAGAACGCGATTACGTAAGAATACGATAAATAGTATTTACGACGGGATAGTGAGCGTGACAAAGAAACTCCGGGGTTCTCCCCGTTCGATTCGTCCCGGAGTGACGAAATGGGATCATTATCGGAATGGATACGCCACTCACTACGGACGGTGCTCCGTCAAATGCGATCTGAAACTCGCTGAAAATCTCTAGAAACTCGTCTAACTCCTTTATATCTCCCCAGAATCGCACGGACGGCCGAGCCAAATCCCTGGCTCTCATTGTGAGAAGGCAGGAATATCGAACGCGGTTTGACTTGTAACTTTAATCGAATCCTTTGCGCGTGCACACACCCACACATACACTTGGCTACCTATTGAGGAAACCGCATAACACCTCGCGCGCGCGCGGCGAATTAAGCACGATCTCTTCTGGTGACTATATCGTTTTCACAATTCCACTTGAAAACCGAGGAAAGCATATCGACATTTGCATTTCATTTGCATTTATGAAACATAATGAGCGCGCTCTGACTCTCAATCGGCATCGCTGTATTCTCTCGCGGACTATCGCGGATGAAATAAAATAACGTATAAAGGCAAAACTGTGCGATCAAATTACAGCGGATGTAATCATTTTGTAATGAGCTCATTTAAATATCGCTTTACGTCACACGAGCGGAATGAGATAAATAAAGTCGCGTGCGCGGTGTATTTACGAGCGAGTGTCGAGTGTCTTACAGATACTGCGCTTTACGTTACGTTTGTATTATTTATAATTGGAAAGCTGGCCGTTCGCGGAGGAGCGGCGTGGCGCGAAGAGGACTCTCGCGCGTGTATCGTTAATAAAACATCAGAATTCTCCGATCCGATTTAATATTCCCCGATCCTTTACGCGGAAATTCAAATACAATACCGGTACGAACACATCGTCGACAGAGAAACGACCGAGCGTACATTCCTATTTCCGCGGCCGCGAAATGAGAAATGGGATAAAGCGAAAAAGGATGTAAGGCGCGCAAATAAAAATTACGGTGTCGCCTGATAACTCGTTCCGTATATATTTTCTGTGCGTGAAGGAGAGGCGTAATTAATAGCGTAACGCTCGTGCCACCCTCCTCTCTCTTTCACCCCTTCTTCACCCTCCTCGCTCTCTCTCTCTCTCTCTCTCTCTCTCTCTCTCTCTCTCTCTCTCTCTCTTTCTCTCCCCCCCCCTTTCTCTCCGAGTGATAGAGATACCACGGAACGGTAATATTATTTAAGAAAAATGGAACCAGACGCGCCTCGTCCGTCCGGCGAGCAACGTGCACGTTTTTTCCCTGCGCCATTTCTCGCGCGAATAAATATTTCATCCCTTTAATCCATTCGACATGTCCGCTGGCCACGCGATCCCTCGGCGACTTTAACATTTCTTCGTATTCCCGACGACGCACCTTTGATAAATAACTCACATATTCGAGGCAACTTTTATCCGAGTAGTCCGCCGAGATTAATTATTTCATTAACGTGCCCGGAACGCGAATTTGCGCAAGAATCCCGTCGCGAAATGCGCCGCCGGGTCGAAAAATGTCATCCGCTGAGTGATTTCCCGCTGGTACGTATGTACGTCGCACACTCACCGGCACACGATACGGGACATACGAGTGGAATGCAGCTACGGTAATGATCTTACGGTAAATCTGGTTAAGGCCACCACTTAGAATAATCCGGGCGATCGTTAGAGAGCGGCCAATTGTCGCGAGAAGCTAAATATACGTCCGGCAGATTCTATTTTTAAACGAGTAATTCCGCCGCTCCTCTTCGCCTCATTGAAAGCTCGTATCGAAAGCGCCGTTTATCCGAGTAAAGTAGATGCGACTTTTCTAGAGAGAGAGAGAGAGAGAAAGAGAGTGTATGTGTATATAGCCGATTGTTTGGCCGCGCTCGCTACGCCCCGACTAGGGAAAAAGTGTCACGCGATAAGCGTCTATTTTATGCGGAATCTCCTCGCAGACCTCTTTGTAGCCGAGCGTTCTTCAGCTCCGTAAGGTCGGCCTTATGCTTCCTTTCACGGCACGCGCGCGCGCCGATTCGCGGCGTATCCTTGTATAATCTCGGTTCCCACAGGAGACGTCAGGGCCGCGACGTGGCGCGAGACGTTTCATTGGCACTTTTTCAATAAAAGCTTCTCCCTGCGGGGGAGCGAATTTTCTCAGAGCCGCGAGTCGGGCGATAAAATAAAACTAGACGCCGCGGGAATTTTCTCGGCACGATAAGACGATAAAAGGGCAGCGGACGCGCACGCGACTTTACGAACGAAATTTCCACGAGACGTTCCCGCGAATGACAGCCCCCTTCTCCTCTCGCCGAGCACCCTCCGGCTCTCCCATACACACGTGGACGCTCGCAGGTTGCATTATCTTCGGCTCCGACCAAGAGGTAGCCGGGGTCATGAGGGCGGTGAGGCGGTGCAACGCGACCGGCGCCTTTTCCTGGATCGGAAGCGACGGCTGGAGCGCAAGAGGATTAGTGAGTAACGGTAACGAGCCGGAAGTCGAGGGCACTCTGTCGGTCCAGCCTCAGGCGAATCCCGTGAAAGGTTTCGAAGAGTACTTCCTCAACTTGACCGTCGAGAACAATCGGAGGAACCCGTGGTTCGTCGGTAAGCGAGTGACCTGAGCACGAATGCGCACGACGGGGCCGAAACTTTGACGAACCGTTAACTTCTCTCGCGGACAGCGCGCGCTCTGCGTGCGTGCGTGCGTGCGTGCGTGCGTGCGTGCGTGCGTGCAACATGCATGTGTGCATGCACGTGATAAGCCCGCGGCTGTCGGGCAAGCGAAAAGCCGGACTCTGCTCCCGATACATGCATGTTCGGGCGAACTTTTAGCACACAAGCACGGCGCAGCGGCAGTCGTCAAGTCGACCGAACATTTAGCATCCCGTTGAGGCGCAAAAGCGCCATCGTTGTTATCGTCGGCTGCGCCGTCAAACGGCACGTTTTGATATATTCTCGCGGGGGATATATATTCTCCACTGGTCTCTACCATTTTTCACAATTAACATAGATGTAATTTCACTCGGGATTTGAATTAAAAAACTCGCTAATCGGCAAATGGACATGAGTGTGTGTGTGCATGCGCGTTTACGGGACTAACCAACGGAAAAACCAATGACGCTTGCCCGACTAGAAATTTTGATCAGGTTCACCTGACATTGATAAGGACCTGATAGGATGAATGAAAGGTAATGCTGAGTAAGTCAGTCCTTATAATGTCCTAACGGCAAATGAGTAAGGAAGACCTTTATAAGGTTATAATGATTGGGTCCACATTAGGACCTTAATGTATGATATATTGGGTTGGCAACTAAGTGATTGCGGATTTTAAATAAGAATGAAAATTCAAAATTTTTAATTTGCTTTTTTAAATTTTTTTCAATGCATGTATGCGATACATTGAGCTTCCCTGCAATATCACGTGTTGTGCTATGACGATCTGAATCGATAATGGCCTTGATATGGGTCTCATCGACTTCAACTGGACGGCCAGATCGTTGAGCATTTTTCTGTGAAAAATCACCAGAACGAAATCTGGCAAACCAATTTTGACACTGCCTTTCTTTCAAGGCTTCATTCCCATATACGGCACATAACTTCTTGTGTGCTTGCGATGCGTTCTTGCCTTTTCGGAAACAATACAATAAAATATGTCTGAAGTGCACGTCTTGCTCTTCCATTTTTAAATTGGGATAAAAACAAAACTAAACAACTAATCGATATAATTTTTGTACTAAATGAAAGGTAGAAGTCCAAACAATAAGAAAAAAATATAGGTTAGGTACTTTGAACACGTTAACGAAACAAAAGAAAGTGTAAAATCCATCTGTCGACAAAATCCGCAATCACTTAGTTGCCAACCCAATAATATGGTTCAGTTAATCAGGTCCTTGTCGGGATCTTATTCATTGTACCTAATATGATTTGCATTATCAAGTTTTAACAAAACAATCTTTAGGTGTCATTTCCAAATATAAAGATGTTTGCATTGAAAAAACACTTCAGATCACTTGAATATATTTGTAAAATTTAAGACAGAAACTATCCTTTTTTTAACAGTCAATAAATAGTTGTAAAATGAACGTGACATGCAACTTTTCTCTTTAACACTACTTTATGTCTTGTGATACTTTATGATCTTGTGATATTCATTTTATATTTCTTTTCCGAAACATTTTAGCAAGTATGCTCAAGCGATCTAAAATATTATTTCATGCAAATATCTTTTTATTTGGAAATGACTTGAAAGAATTTTCAGCCTGTCATTTCTTATTTCTAATGTCATCATCCAATATAGCCGTGGCGAGTAATCAGGAGCCATAATTTGAAGAAAAAACGTAATAAGGATCCCATAAGGTAACTCAATAAGAACCCGACTACGAAACCTCACTAAACCTCCCACACCCTCCTGATATCCACGCTGCGTTGCGTGACTTACTAGGACCCGATAGTATTACCTTATTGGGACCTGATGTCCAAATGAGGTTGGAACCTGATCAGCACCATGGGATAAATTTCTAGTCGGGTCGTTCATCAAGTCGGTCCCGTCGGTCGCGCGCTATCGCGAAGTTCTTGCGATTCAGCTGCGTTACCGCGCGCGGAAAAGGCGACGAATTGTCACGTGGATTTTTCAGAATTTTGGGAAGACCACTTCAAATGTCGATACCCGAACGCATCGCAGACACCGTACAACAAAAAGTATACGAAAACTTGCACGACGAAGGAACGGCTCACCAAACAAAACACGGCATTCGAGGACCAGCTGCAGTTCGTTTCCGACGCAGTAATGGCTTTCGCTTACGCTTTCCGGTAAAATAGGAATTTAATCTCCGACAGATCTCAGCGAGAAGATCTTACATCTCTCCTGCTGTCTCCCTGCTGCCGTGCATCGCTGGCAAGCTGGGAGAGGCGGGGGAGGAGGAGAACCGTGAGAGAAAAATACGCTGTTCTTCCTTCTTCCAGGGATATGCATCGCGACCTTTGCCACGGAAGGGCAGGCTTGTGCGACGCCATGAAACCGATCAACGGGACGAAACTCTTGCACTATCTGCACAATGTGGATTTCGAGGGTAAGCTGACACGGCGATTCCGCGACTCTCGGAAGGTTGCGAATGTGTCGGTCTGCGGCCGATCGATCGCGGAGCGCGTCGCTCGCAAGAGTGCGTTGTAAATCACGCTGGAGGCGCTCGTCCTCGCGCGCGAGCGCGAGCGTCTCTCATAGCGCGGAGGAGAAAAAGGATGTTGAAAGTCCGCGTTGGTATCCGTGCCTCATGCACGCTAAGCCGGTCGCATTGTCCTCATATGATCGTGATTAGCCCGCTTGATGCGTTGTCGTCGTTGTCGTCGCCGTCGAGCTCAGGCGCTCATCGTACTCACAGACGATCGAACGACTTTACGTTTCAAGGTCTAAGCGGCGACAAGTTTAAATTCGACAAGAACGGCGACGGTCCCGCGAGGTACAACATCATACACTTCAAGCAAACCGAGCCGGGCACGTACAAGTGGGTTCGCGTCGGCAAATACCTGGAGGGCGAGTTGCGGCTGAATATGTCCAGTGAGCTCTCTTCTATTTTCACGTTTCGCCACGCGTCCGCCTTCTCTCCCTCCTTCCTGTCGAATCCCGTCGCGAATATCGCGGATGAGGTTTCGCTCCTACTTACGAACGCGCGCGCGCGCGCATCCGACAGTATTCCATATTGTCACTGTGTGTGGTGTGTGTGTGTGTGTGTGGTGTGTGTGTGTGTGTGTCCGTATTTGTTTCAGAGATCCAATTTAAGCTCGGGCATTCGCAGCCGCCCGAAAGCGTGTGCTCTTTGCCCTGCGAGGTCGGCCAGGCGAAGAAATACGTCGAGGGTGAGAGATGCTGCTGGCATTGCTTTAATTGCACTCAATATCAGGTACGTCAAATCGCCGGTATCGTCGAGATAATTAACCTTCCGCGCGAGACCGGCCGAGAATATCCGAGCCGTGAGCTCGATCGTTTTCAAAAGGACACCGGAAACAAAGCGACCGTTCATTATTGATGGTCGGTGCGTCTCTCGGTGGCGCGGCGACATTCGTCTCGCGCGTGGTATATTCACTTAACCGGCAATCGTGGTAACGAGGGTTGATGATAAAAAATAGTTGCCCGGAGAAGACGGGGTTGAACGCGTGTCGAATGAATACGTGCACAGAATACCGTCGGTGTAGCTCCCTTGCAGCGTTTCGCGGAATTCTGTGTATTATATTCCTCGGCCCTTTCGTCACGTCTACATCTCGGCCGAGGAAGAAGCTTTCACGATTTTATGAATGACATCGCGGCGCGGTAAAAAAAAGATCGATGCGCCACGCGCTGGAAATGAAACCGTGATTACTTCTGCGCCCTCCCGGTGCGACAGATTATCGTTGCTTAAAAAAAAGAAGGGAAATTTAAAAAAATTGACGATATTATACACGAATTGAACGTGAGTGCGCGGAGGTCTCTTTTCCTGGAGGATATCAGTATTCGCGCACTGAGAAAATATCATTCGTATTATTATTATTATTATTATTATCATTATTCGAGACATTGGAAAATAGCACTGGAAAAGCGTACCTTCCGTACGACATAAATTTTCGTATCATAATATCATAAAATTCAAAAGATATCCAATAGCAAGTTAATTAATAATTGCGACGTATAATTTTAGACTCGGATATCGCGCTGTTGCGCGATATTCAACTCGTCGTTAGAGATGTGCGAACTATTCGAATTCGAATCGAATCGAATCGAATCGAATCGAATCTAATGTAATTCGATTCGATTCGAATCCGAATCCTTATGATTCGAATCTGAATAATTCGAAAATTTCGAATCGAAGATTCAATTACGAATCAAATATATTAACGTGCATTATATTTACATGCATCGGGTACAAAACGAGTCATCTGGACCTGTATGTTGGAACCCTTAACTTGTAATTAACTCAACTTATAATTAATAACTTAATTATAAATTACTTTAAATATTTAAATATATATTTTACTTTAAGATGATATTACAATATCAATATCCCCTTTCATATTAAAATCTTCCATCATTATGTGCATGTTTAATAGTCACGTTAAATTTTTTAATGATTCGATTCGATTCGAATTCGAATTAAAAAAATGAGATTCGATTCGATTCGATTCGACATAAAAATTCTTGATTCGCACATCTCTACTCGTCGTCGTTCGTTAAAATCGCTCGATAAAAGCTACGGGAATTGAGTTAACGTAAGCGGGAAGCAGTCCTCGGTGAGAATTTTATGCACCGCGCTCTTTCATCCCTCACACAGATACGACATCCCAAAGACGAGACGCAGTGCATCCAATGCCGTCGAGGCACGGTGCCGGACGAAACACACTCGACGTGTCGTGACATACCGGAGGAGTTTCTGCGCCCGGAGAGCGGTTGGGCGATAGGCGCGATGTGCTTCTCCGCCTTTGGAATTTTTGTAGGTGTCTCTTGTATTTTTCACTCCTTGACTTTACGAAGCTGAGCGGGCTTCTTCGATGTGTCTACAGAGAGAGAGAGAGAGAGAGAGAGAGACTGGCTTTTCTCTCTCTCTCTCTCTCTCTCTCTCTCTCTCTCTCTCTCTCTCTCTCTCTCTCTGTGTGTGTGTGTGTGTGTGTGTGGCTGCCGTGACAAAACACTAACCAGTAAAATGCGACGAGCATCGAAATCGTGGAAACCCCAAGGGGGATACATCCGACCTTGGTCCGTATTCTGACCGCACATTTAGCACTAAATTCTGATTCCTAAACTGAAATAACATTACGTGCGAATTGTCCAAGATATATACAGAGCTTGGAGCGAGTTGGCCACATTTAAAGTTGCATGCGCGGTTAGGATATGACCTCTGCACGAATGTACCAAGACCCGAAGGATTTTTCAAGCTCGAGCCTGATTTAAGCGATAGCCCCAAAAATATATCTTGGCAATTCTTCTTGGGTGGTAAAGAAGGAGTGGTGACGTAAGAAGAATAGTATCCGAGACTGTAACTACCCGTATCTGACTGTAACAAATCGCCCATCGTTTGCTTGAACTGATCGTAACGTAGCGATAATCTCGCTATAACATCGTCTGTTACTTTAATAACCACCTTGACCGTATTATATGACGCAAGATTGACAAAGCTCGTATATTTTTAATGCGTGAATACAGGTGACGTTATTTGTCTGCGGCGTTTTCCTCAGACACAACGACACACCGGTCGTACGTGCATCCGGACGCGAACTATCTTACGTCCTTCTCGTGGGAATACTACTCTGTTACCTCGTCACGTTCACCCTAGTACTCAGACCCACGGACGCTGTCTGCAGCATTCAAAGGTAAAAAGAAGAAAGGAAAAAAAAAAAAAAAAGAAAAAAAAACTACGAATCTTTCCGGATATGTTCTACAAACTTCCCAGATCCCGACGACAGTATTAATCTTTCGCTCCTTGCAAGCCCCGCATTACAGCTACATGATAAATTATATCCCCTCGCGTGCGATCAGTGTCGTCCGACCGTGAACAAAGTAACGGTTTCTAACTAATTTCGAGTGCGATCCTATGGGGGCCTCTAATGCTTTTCGCTTTTTGTGCCTCTTGCTCGTCCTAATGTCTCAGCATGAATGGGAGAGTAAAAGGTGTTCTTCTTTGAGCGGCATCGGACCAGAGCGCGTAATCTACCGGAGAATTTAAAGGGAAATGCGATGCAATAGGGGAGAAAAAGAGATCGTATCCTTGAGTATGAAACGGAGATGGAGAAATAGCAATTACGCGGCAGCGGGGAGGCATCGTCTCCGAATGTTAACGGTACTCCGGTCAAGAACCGGAGATGTAACTTCTTTAATTCCACCGACAGAGTCGCCGCAGGACTCTGCTTCACCGTGGTGTACGCCGCTTTGTTAACGAAGACCAATCGAATCGCGAGGATCTTCAATGACGGGAGACAAAGCGCCAAGAGACCTTCGTTCATTTCGCCGCGGTCGCAGCTCATTATCTGCTTCGGATTGGTATCCGTGCAAATCTTAATTAACGTAGTCTGGATACTGATCGATCCCGCCAGAGCGATGCATCACTATCCCACGATGGAGGACAATTTGCTGGTCTGCAACAGCTATATCGACGCCAGCTACATGATCGCGTTTGCGTATCCTATAATATTGATAGCTGTGTGCACCGTCTACGCCGTCCTCACGAGGAAAATTCCGGAAGCCTTCAACGAGAGCAAGCACATCGGTGAGTATTCACCGTTCCGTCGCGGACCTCCGTTGCCGTCACGTTAGTTTTTTTTTTTTTTTCGCGTGGCTCGAGGAGAATATCAACATGAGAGATCGATATCGATGCAAAATTTTGACGCGTTGTTGCGAAAAATGTAACGAGTATCCTCGCTGCGAAAGAGCGGGGAAAAATGCCGACTGGACAGTACGCCGTCTTGAAATTGCAACGCGCAACTTGCGACGAAAGGATGGCCTGAGAATCTTTTGTTCCTTTTTTCCTTTTTATAATCAGTGTAGTGAGAGAATTATAACCTGGCAAATGATATTGTGCAACAACTATTGCTGTGGACCGTTAGCTTAACGGAAAGCTCCATTAAAGCTCTATAATCTCAATAATCTCACACGTATGTTGTTACTTTCTTGTCGGAACAATATGAGGATATAATTGAGTATAATTATAATTTCCGGTGAGAGAGATCGGTCGTTTTGCATGAGAGATTCAAGACGAAAGTGATATCGACACTCGGCAAGACGCTTCTCCTTGTTAATCCGCTTCCTCGTATTAATGATAACTGTTTGGCAGGACGCCGCGAGGGAAGCATGCATTCATTAAGAAAGAACGTCTCTCTGCATGCAGGTTTCGCCATGTACACGACGTGCGTCATATGGCTTGCGTTCGTGCCCTTGTACTTCGGCACCGGAACCAACGTTGCGCTGAGAATTACTTCCATGTCGGTAACAATCAGTCTTTCCGCGTCCGTAATGGTGGTTTGCCTCTTCAGCCCAAAGGTGACGTCCCGTTTGATCACTTTGAACCGCTTGAAAATGCTTGCGCTCCGACTGCACGTAATCGAGCGCTCGAGATCACCGCGAACGTTTAATCATAGTCTCGAATCCGCTTCGTTTGCCATTGATTGGACTGCAAAATTGGTTTGAAGTTAGAAATTCGCGCGTCCGCGATGTATTGCGACATCGGGACGTATGCGGTTACATGTATTAGCGAGTATTTCCCTAAATCCAACGAGAGGAACTTTTCGAACCTGACATTCGGCGTGAAACGTTCCTCTCCGGTGAAAAGATCGGAATTTAATTAAAAGGGGGAGGGGGCCACAAATTTGAACTGGCTAAAAATAGGAGGTGTTAGCGTACTAATTCTTTCTTTTCCTCTTTTTAGTTTAAAATAAAAAGGTCTGTTAGTTAGTCCAATCAAATATATTCATCCTCTCGAAAGTGTCTATCTTGTTGATAGCTTTCGATTGATAATTTTCTCTCCCTCTCTCTCTCTCTCTCTCTTTAATTAATAATTTCTTTGAATAACTTTCTCAATCCGATACGAACATGCCGTTATCGTGACGCTAGTAGCTGCTACGCGGCCCATTTCTAACTCGTTCAAGTGTATATTTCTCCTTAATTAATTGTTTAATTGTTTGTGCGACTCACACATCGTGGTGTCGAGCGCCGCGAGTCGCGTCGCGTCGTTAAGCAAAGTGATCCCCAAACTTGGCTCTATACAATTTATACACAATAGCGATTCTACAAGGCGCGTATTGTTTGCACGCTTAGCTGTACATTATTTTGATCCGACCCGAGAGAAACGTACGGCCGAACATAAAGGCGGGCAGGCCCAACTTGACGAAAAGTTCGGCGATAACCGCCACGAATCCGTCGAGCATGATGGGCCCGGTCGCAGCGACGACGGTGCTAACAGCCGCGACTTGCGACCAGAATAAAGCCATCAAGAAACATATCACGTCCACCATAGATTGCTCCACACAGAGCGAATGTAAGTACGATCTCGCTACGTAATTTCGCGCTGCGAATTGATGGGAATCGGAGAAACACACGATATTGTTACGTTTTCCCCTCGATTGTCCGAGTGCTCGCGCTCGCGCTCGCGGTACTTCAAAACAATGCGCGGTGTTTTCCTTTCGCAGACTACGAAATGGAAGTGAAGGAGCGGAAAAACGGAAAGCCGCCGGCGATTTGCGCCTCGCGATCGACCCAGACGACCAACAACGAGAAAGAATTGGCGATGACCTCGACGACGTCGACGACGTCGTCGACGACAACGACGATGACGACGACAACCTCCATCGCGGCGGGCAATAAAGAATCGGCAAGCGTGGTCGCGTCCGCCGACAACAAGGAACCAAAGAATAGCACGACAACGACAAAACGACTCAATAGCAACGCGAGAATAGGCAACGGGCCGCTTTCGCAGAGCAACGTATCCTTATAGCGCAAGGCGGAAACGCCCATAGAATCGCCCGTATTAGCGAATCGCATTAGTTTAAAGCCGATCTCGAAGAAACCCGTTATCGTCTGATTAGAATTCCATCGCGTACTGTACATATTATCAACTGAAACTATACACGCCAACGCGTTTTTCGACATGATTAACAAAGAACAAAGTCTCCGTCGGTTATTTTCAGGAATTGTTCGCCGTTAATCGGCAGGATTCGACGATGAAGTAACACTCGAGCACGCCAAACAATTCGATACTACGATGCGAACTGCGAATTAAATATGTATTGTATATTGTTAAATTAAAGCTACAATTGCAGGTTAAGGACAAACGAGAGAGCTCATCGATAAGAAATGACGCTTCGTCGTACCCGCGGAGTCACAAGTTTTCAGGAGAAACGTAAAATTGTTTCAAAGATTCACTTTGCTCCGAAGGCGATTCAATTTTTTTCTGTAATCTTCAGTCTTTTAGATCTCAAGCGGAGGAAAAGTTTCCAACAAGTCGAAAATAAGTGGAGTTTACTGAACCAAAGGTCCGAACTAAAGACCCGAGGTATCACTTTTCAGTTATCAAAGTGAACTTTGGATCTTTACAGTTACGATTCGAAAGAGAATGAAATTTATTATATCGACTTCGTTTGCGTACGTAATTTTAGCGAATGAAACGTTTGACGTGGTGCATTTGGTTAGACAAGCTTGAAAATGTGGAGAGACTACGGAAAGAGACGTTAATTCTCTCAAATTTTAGAGGTATCTATGACGATTCAGTAGACACTGCAAATTTTATCGTTGGTCGTACAAGATGGTGTGCATGATGAAGAGGCGACTCGTATGATTTATAAGTAATATATTTCGCTATCTTGTATTCCTCGAATGAACCTGTCCTTGAATAGATACGTAGTTGAATATTGATTATATAGATTAAAAATATTTGCAATTCTGACTCTAACGAGAACGAAATTCGTCTTACTTAACTTTGCTCATACGCATAATGTGTAATATTAATGAAAACTGACGGTTGACATTAGGCATTTTATCAGACTATAACTTGAACGCGCGTCTCTTAGTGAGAAATATCAATTCATGTTTTAAAAATATCTACGACGTAATTCGTAAATATTAAACGTTCTGATATGTTTTTACGTGTATGAAAAATGTGATATAGAATTTAATAAATTTTGAGTCAGGTCAGAAGTTCAGTACGACTTTCGACTCGATGATAAATTAGTCGCCTTCTACGATAGAAGTATATAAATGCTGCCAGAATGTTGATGAAACATTACAAACGATAGCGATTAGTTGATAAATAATTTGTTTCTATTGAACGTAATAAAATAAAAATTGATTAAAAAGTCGAACCGAACTTTTCAATTGACTCAATATATCCTATACTTTACTGTGTATACTTTCTCATAAAATTAAACATCTCGCTCGCTCTTTCTTAATTTCAAACAGTATAATATATTATCTCGTAATTAGTTATGGGAAAATTTCTCCATATATATATTACCTCCATATATATATTTTGCATATATCCTGACACTGGAATTATCTTCCGATAAAGATGCTGAATAAGACACAAACGGTTATAAAACATAAATATGTAAATATAATTAGATGAATGAAAAAATTGTCTCGTCTCAAGAAGTAAAAGTCGTTGCTTGAAAGAGACAAACCTAAAGCTACTTTCATTTATTAAAACCTGCAAGTTTTCTAAGAGAAATTACCATTAAGCGCAACGTTGCATTCGATTGATGTAAATATCGATTTGTAAATATGTAAACTTTTAGAGAAATGGACAGGCTAACCAACGAAAACACACTTCATGTGTTGTTTGATATTTAAACGAAATACAAGCACATACATTTTAGAATAAAATACCCTCACTCTCCATTACTTAGAGACAATTTCTGCAGACTATAGGAATTGCCCCTCGTAGAAGTAACATTAAAAAATTGCGTAGTATCGTAACGCGCGAATTCATTTTTACAGAAGCGTTATTCCTATTGTGTTGTTCATTGATAAAAATTGGTTAAACATATTATAGCGTAAGCCTCAACGATGAGATGTTGGTTAATATTAAATCTGTGTTAATATTAAAGCACGTTAAATTAAATCTCATGCACAAAGAGTAAACATTCAGAATATACATCTATTATTTTGTTCCATGTTGGTTTTCTATACGCCAAACTTTGGATATAAATGAGCCCAATATCCACAGTTCGGCATTTATTCATATCTGATTGTGTACATTACACGAATAACTTAAAACCTTTGTTTGTACAGCGGTACGATAAGATTAAGCTAAAAAATTACCGAATAAACGGTAGTACTTGCGTATCATCGCATCGAAAGAAACCTTTCGATGTATAAATTTATGTACGTGAGTATGTACTTAGACGAGTATTAATATCCAAGAAATTTATAAAAATCTAAAAATCAGTCTCTGAAGCAACGCAAGGAAAAATGTACATTCCACTACTTTTAGATAGATATTTCGCATATGCATGTACATATACAAATGAATTATAAATAGATAATTGTACATAAATATATAATATCGCGTATGAATGCGAGATTTATCGTTTTAGCTTGTATGGAACCAATTTAATTATTTAACATTTATGCGAATTAAGAGATCCGTGTACGTGATTAATTATGATATGGCGTATAAATTCCGAAAATGCAATGCAAAGACAATGTCAAAAATAATATATATATATATACATATATATATGTATAATTTAATATAAGTGTCATGCGATCTATAAAAATATTTTAAATACATTACGAATTAGGTTAGGGAAAGAGAGAGAGAGAGAGAGAGAGAGAGAGAGAGAGAGAGAGAGAGAGAGAGAGAGAGAGAGAGAGAGAGAGAGAGAGAGAGAGAGAGAGAGAGAGAGAGAGAGAGAGAGAGAGAGAGAGAGAGAGAGAGAGAGAGAAAGGGAGAAAGGGGAGAGAAAGAGAGAAAGAGAGAGAGAGAGAGAGAGAGAGAGAGAGAAATGAAAAAGTTTAGCAGTAGCACGTTATATCTGTTAAAGTGAAAGTTACAGAATAAAATCGACACGACGATGTGATTACTATTCTTGTCCTATTTATTATTTTTGTCGCAAAATTCCAAGGGGGCGGGAGTGGATATTTGTAGCGGAGAAAAGGACAGACAATTTGTGCTTGGTATCTTTTTATTTTCCTTAACGCGCACGCGTGGTGCGACTTACAATAAATATATGACAATTCAAAGATGCTGTTTAATTTTTGAAAGCTACAAAAAATTACAGTAGACACGATGCGTCCCGTCAGAATCGCAGAGAGAGAGAGACACACAGAGAGACAGAGAGACAATCCATACGACTCGGTGATATGCCACAAGGTTCACTTAATTCGTTCTCGGCTATTCCCAACTTGTCCCATCGACCACTAGCGGATTAGTAGCAGATCCTGAAAATCCCGATTAGGCGTATGATTTACGATTTGCATTTCAAGCCATAAACCTACGCGATTGAAAGGGGAATAAAACACCGAGATCCTACGATTGTAACTCGTAAGGTGGAGTCCGCTTGCGTAATCAACATCACTTACAGGATATGCCTCTGTCCGTACGATTCGTCAATAAATTTATTTAAGCGTAGAATGAAAGATAGGTCAGAAAGGTGTCTTTAAGAAAGTTCGTACATCGAACACGTTCGAGTCCTAACGAAGAGAATACACGCATTCGCGTGATACGAATCAGCAAACAGTCTGAGATATATATATATATATATATATATATATAGGCGAATAATAGGTGCGGAAAATTTCGGCACAGTAATATAATTAACACAATGTTAGATAATGTAATAAACATCTTTTGCTAGATTTCCTATACGAAAGTAACGGATAGCTCTCTCTATGTCGCCCTACGACGTTGAGGATACACGCCTACAGCTCGCGCGACTCTTAAAACTTAACCCGGTGTCAGTTCTTTTTCTTTCTTTTTAGTAACTTATAATGTAAACGTGAAGGAAAGAGAGGCATCAAGGGTGCGGAAAAATAGAAAAAGCCTCGCTAAAATATATTATCTTTTTATTCGAATAGCAATTACAACGCCTTAATGGACGACTGACAGTCTTCTTGGCTAAGCTACATCAGTGGCATACCTTTACAGTTTCCTAAATGTACAAGTTCCTTCAAAAACAATCTCTCCGACTAGTTACACTTTGTCTCTCGTCAGTAAATAGTTAGCGACTGCAGGTCCTTACGAAACGAGATATAAACTCCGAACGCAAACAGTAGGAACGGTAATACCGTCGGAAATACACGTAAGCATCGACCAACTCGTCACAATGGGCATGCTGCCGTTTTTAAGTGACAACCGGCAACGGGTAGGCACGTGCGCATTGATAAAAATATGCAATACATGTGCATTATCTATGAAATTCGTCACGTATTCATCTAGAGAATCGTCAAATCCTAATTAATTTCTTCATGCCCTACAAACACAAAACATGATATCTTTGGTCTAATGAAATAAACAGGTATATTACAAGGATATTTGCTTACCTACAAAATTATCTTTGTCACAAGGAAAAAGATTCATTGCTTTCAAATGCTCGATGTAAGGACAATCATCATGTACACGCTACCCTCGCACGTAACAACCATATTATTTTGTTTCAATGACATAAATAATCCGTCAATTTTTCTTTTTCTCTCACAAATGGATGCTAAATTTTGTGCAAGCAACGATACCCAAATTGTTTGTGCAGCAAATACCAAAGGTGACATTCGAAACGGTCGCAATAAAAGTACGAAAGCTACCGCTCCTCCTACATCCTCCGCTAAATATTGCCGCTATCAAAATCGAAATTCGTACACGAGAACATCTCAGCTTGTCTAAAAACCTCCTTATACCGACGTGTGTAAATAAGTCACTCTTACAAACGGTAAAAGTAGTTTGATAAAAGAGTACTTTTGAGTTTATTCATTATTATTGTAACAGTTAGTCCGTAAATGTTGAAAACAAAATCGAACTCCCGTACAAATATGACGTTATGGAGTCCGATACTATACGCACAGGGCATGTTCTATAAAAAAGATCGTTTCTCTATTTTGCTCTTAAATTCTACAAAAACTCGATATTTCAGACATACAGAGAATCTTTGATTCGACGTGAATTATATATTTTTGCATAAAAGTAATAAATTCGTTTCAATATTACCCTTTTCATTCATCATTCATTCTTCCTCCTTACATAACGTAACGGCTAATTGATATATACGTATGTATATTTCAACTTTATTTAATGATCTCTCTCTTTCTCTCTTTCTATCTAATGTCACATATTACACCAATCTTTTACTGGAAACTGGAAACTACCTTATCGTACACTCATTACATCGCTTATATATTTACAAGATCCACCTCTAGAGAATTTAGAATATATAATAATATTAAAAAAAGGAGAAGAATAACGCAAAAACGTTCGATAATATTTTCATCGTACGTTTTAACCCGGCTATAGCGATCGCTATTTAATCACGACTTATAAAGTCCGAAGCGTAAGATTCGACGCAACGAACGGATGGTACGAACAACACTATGGACAACAACGTCCGTTCGGAAAATGTATGTATATTGCACGTCAAGAGACTATTGAATTTATGTCTTCCAAAACTTACCACTGACTTTGATACCTTTGACCTTCTGTAACTTCTTCTTTGGGTCCGACAGTACCGGCATGGCTTCCCTACCCGATTCGCTTCCCCCTGCACCGGAACTACCTCCAGCTACATCAGCCTCTTGAATGCCTCCACCTCCGGTTTGAGTCGCGAGAGATTTCTTGATATTCGTAATCTGGAAAATGATCGAAAGGAATCAATATTCACTATATGATGTGCTAATTTTTTGGTAGTATATATATATAACAAAAAGATAAAAGGATAACTCACGTCTCTTTGTATTCTCTCCTTATGGTAAGTAGCCTTTTGTTTCTCGATATTGGCTCTGGTCACTTGCTGTTCAATGCATGCCAAAACTGTGTCGCAAGCTTCACCCCAAGCAGCCAATGTTTTAGCCACTATACCAGCATCACCTGGTCGGACGTCCCGTCCTAAACCAGCATAATCCACTTCTAATTGAGAGTTCTTTTGATCTAATTTTCCATGGATTATGTCAGCATATATTGCTTCAATAATCAGATCTTCTAAATCTCTGACATTCTTTATGTCTAGTTCTTCCAACAGTACTGAGTAAGGTATGCATTTAGATCTTGTAGCAAGAGTAACAATTGTAAGATGCTGAAGCTTTTTCTTTTGCGTAGGAGTTAATTCTAACACTTTATCTTTATTTTCTAAATAATCCTTATAAGTGCCATATGCAAATAGATTCAGCGTATTCCAATATTGGACATAAGGTCCATTCTCCAGTTCTTTGATATTTGGCATATCCAGTAATTCACCAAAGACGTGAACACCAGGTGTTTCAACAGCCTGCTTTATAAGTTCCAGAGCAGCGGCACCTTTTGCAGTTTTTGCGAGTAATACAAACTGCTCCAATGGATTATTGGCTGATTTCTCAGTAGAGTTTCCACCAGTCATGATGACTCCTGATAAACAATATTTAAGAACAAATAGGTTATACGTGAATTAAAATACCATGTAAAATACATATGGAGACGTAGGATTTGTAATAATAAAGAAAATATATATAGTTAAAATTTATGATTTCAAAAAGGAATATACTTGTATTAATCGTAAATGAACTTGATAAACAAAACGTTTGTACGATTCTTTTTAGACAGGTTAGGAAACAGATACAAAATACTTGTTTCAAAGAAACTTGAATCTGTCACTAACACATTAGTTACGATTAAACAATATAAAATACGAAATATCGATATATTTCTAACTGAACGTGTAGCAATAATATGACCCAACTTACTTTTTTCTAACAAATATCAAAACTGAGAGCACAGATTACTTTCTTTTGGCACTAACTTCTGAATAAAGGTGGTGAATTCTCGATATTTTACTTAATCGATAGTTATCGATAGTTTGTAATGTGACGATAGGTATCGATAAATAGTACCGATAAAATTATCTTTCATTTACATCTTCCTAGTCGATGAAACCAGATGGAAGAAGAAGAGAGGTCACGGGCCGCTTTTAGCCGAGCCCAGCGTGAGGCGCCCTCTGTACAACCGTGCACATCAACTACGATGCCAATGTCCACGACCCTTTTCTGATTTCCCCCACCACGCACGTACGCATAGCCCGGCTCAGTCTATTCGTATGGATCACGCGTTCGGCAATCGTCGACGCGCCGAGCGACAAATAGATATCATTCCCTCCTTCTCGCTCTCGTGTTCGCCCTTACTTACCTAGGTAGGTAGGTAGCTGGTAGCAAAGCTAATGAGGCCGCGGGGCAGGTACCTGTGCCGGGTAAGGAAGGAACCCTAGTGTCGGAATTTTCTGTTTCTATCGATATGCTATCGCTGTCGTTATTGCCTAACGCTATCGCTATCGCCTAGCACTGTGTTTTGGGCTTTAGCCTCGCTCGCGTCGCTGAGCGAGAACGAGAGCGAGAAAGAGGGAAAGATATTCTCGCTCGCGTAGCTGAGCGAACACGAGAGCGAGACGGAGAGAATGATATCTCTCTGGTGAGGGAAATCAGAAAAGTGTCGTGGACATTGGCATCGTAGTTGATGTGCACGGTTGTGCAGAGGGCGCCTCACACTGGGCTCGGCTAAAAGCGGCCCGTGACCTCTCTCCAGAGAGAAGAATGAGAGCGGCCACCGGCCGTATTTCGGGGGTACGGCTAGGCGCATTTTAGATACGCCATCTGACCAAAATGCGCCTAAACTACGTCCGCTAGGCGCACTTTCGCGGTGATAAAAGTAAAATGCGCCTAGGTTCGTGTCAGTACTACTTCCATGCAATGGATAGTAGGTTAGAAAAAGACAGACGACAGATAATCGTTCCGTCTTTGTCTCACTAGTGAGCGGCGCGCGGCAGTAAACACGAGGCTAGGTAGCGGCGATCTTATCTTTCATCTTTCACATACTGCGTTTCGCGTAATTAAGAAAGGAAATGATTTGGAAACTTCGGAAATTGACAATGAATAAATATAAAATTTGTGGAATTTTCTTTTTTACAATATATATATATTTTTTAATATTTATACATATGTGTGTGTGTGTTAATGTAGAAAAATGTTGATACCAAATGTATCGTATCTGCCTCCTTCCCTTCTTTCACCTCTGCCTCTTCCTCTTCATTCACCTCTGCCTCTTCCCCTTCTACCATCTCTGCCTCTTCCTCTGTTTTCGCCGCTGCTTCTGCCTCTTCCTCTTCCTCTGCCTCTTCCTCTCCCTCTCCCTCTTCCTCTTCCTACTGCAGCCACGACAGCTGCTTGAATAATATTTTGCAGTGTTTTAGGCTATAATAATAAGTTAATTTTAAAATATGAGACAAAGCGTTAAATAACAATTTACAATTTAATATAATATATTATAATTTAATATAATATATAGATCAGCATAGACATATACAGATTTTCATACTTACAGTTAATATAATTGGCTCGGTCGCCGTCGTGGCCGTCGTGGCCGTCATGGCCGTCGTGACCCCGAAATACGGCCGGTGGCCGCTCTCATTCTTCTCTCTGATGAAACAGTCAATAGAGCGTTCATACGGATCGTTTTATTAGTTTCGTATGCGAAACTAAAGTGAGTTGATAAAAGTAATGGGTTTAATCAACTTTAAACCCGTTATTTTCACTGGACCTCTTTTGGAGACCCGCGAAATAAGCAAAGATAGAAATGTTCTTGTCGGTATTGTCATGACTCGTGAATTATCGTCGGACCCCTCGAGGCCCCTTTGCCTTTACACCTCGTCGGTAGAAGCAATTAATTAAAACCCACATGATAAAGATATATTTTCAATTGATAAACAGTCGACTGCTTAGAATTTCTGATTGGTATTAGCTCGACTGAAGATGACTTTGTAAGTTGTGTTACCAAGGAACATGTTGAGATACAACTAAATAGCCTATCAATGATAAATATGTATCACTTGTAAATGTTCCCTTATATGGAAAAGTTATTATTATATGGAAAAGTTATTATTTTACAATCAAGTATTTTATCAAAAATTATAAAAAGAAATTAATATGAAAATTTTTACATTTTCCTTTCGCAACTTATTTTTCCTAAAAGTATCAATTCAGGAAAATCCGGTAGTATCAAATCAAATATCATATATTTTTCTGGCAAAAAATTGAATGACAGTTTTAATTATATGACTCTCAGTTTCGAAAAGATATTTCACTTCAGAGCACCAAAATTTTGTTCTATTTTTATAAATTCTTTCTGACCAAATCGCAGGGCAATATTTTATGAACGTTATCACTTTGACGTTATCGATTTGTTAGAAGTTTCGACAAATAGTTGCAAAAGTTGAATATCTCCGAAAAATTTTATAAATTTTTTTTATTCTTGGTAATTTAATTCTCGATGATTTTTTTTTTATATTCAATAATATCCTGAAATTGTTTTAATCGTGAACGTATGTGTGCAACGACATACGCAAAGTCGATATGCTTTCCCAGGTTCAAAGGTTCGTTTATATATGGTATTGCCGAGATTGTAAGGGCCTTTCATGTACGTCTCAATTATCGTTATGTAAATTGACTCGGTTTTGTGATGTGTGCTCTGCACGGGATGAGCATAAACGCGTCGAAGCCTTCGGGCTCCGCTGTGTTACGCGAATCCGAGATTGCAATCGTGTGAAGTCAGAGATCGCCCAACTTCCAACGAAAAAATACACGGGTGCGCACTTTACGTATTCCCGAATAGATGAGATTGAATATTTGTAATATTTAAGAGATAACATCTACAGTTTGCTAATTGCGTCTGAATGAGTAAACTGTTTGGAATGAACTGTATGTCATGAGATTAAATATCGGACAAATAACCAGATAATTCTTTGAAGAATAATAAAAGAATGAGGAAATCATGTATCATCTAATTATTTGTCTCCGTCGTTGGATTTTAATTAACGAGTATATGATATCTTCGATATACTTGGCATTTGGAAATAACGTACGGATATTATGAAAGTTCCATGAGTTCTAAACATGAATAATGACGGGGAGAAATTTATTTGAAATCGAACAATCAGATAGAGAGATTTGTGAACGGAGGGAATTGTCAGTGATTTCCGAGGTATAACAAGACGTGTTCGACTGCATGAATATCGTCATAGTGCTATTGTAGGACATTGCATCGGTAAACTGTTTAGGCGGATTATAGCGACTGGCTCTTTGTCGCATCTGTCATACACGAAGCCTCGTTATTCCATTTCTATGCTATATTTCGCCAGATCCCCATTCAATTCGTCCCGCGCCTACACAGTTAAGTCGGAATCGGCGCATAATCCAAGAATGGGATTATTTTTGACGATGGCCGATATGTATCGCATAAGTAGGAACAAGTTACAAGTTCTCTCCCGGTTGTGTATTGTGACGTGCCGTCTGCATAGGAATATTATTAACTCATTTCCACTTTCGGCGGCAAACAAGAATCCTCTGGTTTTAGCCGAAATAACACTACCAATAAACACTTTAATAGCTTTATATTAAAAGTTTGACAATGTTCATACACAGGGTGAGCAATTTAAGGCGTGAAAATTAGTTTGTTTTTTCATCACGTTACACGAATACGCTAGAATTGCGTTCATATTGGAGAAAGGATTATTCTGGATATTGAAAAATGCAAAAATGTTGAATTGCAAGGGAAACAACGCCTACCTTCGTTTAATAATGACGATACAATCAGAATCATCGACGGATCTTGCGCAAGCTGTGCGATTAAGAAGCGCAGCATAACATGCTTTTTCCATTTTCATTTGACGAAGAAGGGACGGCGGCATCGGGGGGTGCAATTCATATTTGCTGCCGCAGTCAGCAGCGGAATTGCACCTTTAATCAAGATTTCTACCAATTTGCGAGCGCCGACGGCGCGAAGACAAAGCCTATTGTTGCCGTAACTGGTCGGAGCTTCAAGTGTTCCAACGCAACGGTGAGAGCCTGATGCGCGTGTATACCGGGTGTGCACGCAAGAGGGACCGACAGGCACGTCCGATGACAGTGATTTGTTAGATCACTTCGTTATTCGTCGAATGCGCGGTGAAAAGTAGAAGAAATGCGAGCAATGGTCATCAGATAACGTGCAAAACTTGCAGAAATTAAGCGATATTGATTTAGACTCGTGTGTTTCGATCTTTCGCGATAAAGTTGGCACGCGATCTTTACGAATGAATTAAAATCGAATTCTCCGTTTTCTCTCTCTGAATAAAAGACGGAGTTAAAAGCCCGTAAAAAAGTCCTTTTTATATGTTAAAATAATGATTAAGTTTCGCATATCATGGTGACATCCTAGATTCGTTTCTTTATTACAGGCTTTGATATCATTGATTGACGCGTCGTTCAGTCCCACTAGAAGGAGAACTTTCTTCAGACACAACCGACGATCGGCGAAATAGATATCAACTTGCGGATTACCCTGTGTATACGCGTGTCTTCACCGTCGGGCCGGGATAGGAGAAGAGGATTCCGTAGTGGAGGTTGACGCTCAGGGACCGCCAAGCTAGTCGCTTCGCATCCCAGAAGCCTCTACCCCACCGTTCGCTTCCGGCTAAGCCCGCTGCCACCGCGTACCAAGCAACTTGAAGCCACTCGTACTTCTGTTTGTGTTTGCTAATTGTGAATTGTCTACTTCTTGCCGGTGGTCTGTGTGCACGCGGCACCGGGAGCGAGGGAGACAGACGTTACCTGGGATGCGAATAGCGGAAGACAGTGTGAGAGAAAGAAAAAGAGAGAGAGAGAGAGAGAGAGAGAGAGAGAGAGAGAGAGAGAGAGAGTGCGAGTGACGGATAGGTGGAGGAAGAGGAGGATGAGGAGGAAAGAGAGAGAGAGAGAGAGAGAGGGAAAGAGAGGAGCGGAAGGATACGGAACACAAGTCGTGTGTGCGAGGCGAAGTGAGCTTCCGGCTGGAAGCACATCGCCTACGAAATGCTCGGACCGGGGAAAAGCCACCCCCTCGGGCCAACATCCCTGCCTAGGTTGGCGTCTCTCTATTCCTGCACCCTTCCTTACACCCGTCGCCGACCACTCCGCACCTCCGCTCTGCTTTTATGCCGTAGACACTCGAGTTTACCTCACTAGTCGGTGCTCGCATGAGCACCATCCGCCAAGAGGCACCCGCGAGCGAGAGGATACCAATTTTTAGCCTCTCTTCGTGCCTCCACCTGTCGACTGCTCAAAGGCTATTCGATATTGAAAATTCGGATTGTATCCTGTACCGCCGTACGTGAGGAGGCGAAGAATCTCGAGAACCTTAGTGAGAAAAAGATGCCAGTTTGTCGGACACCGATTAAGAAGGTCTTACGGATCAAGAGTTTTTGACGAATTTCATCTCACTTTTACGATCATCGTTGTGAGATTAAAGATTAGTAACAAAACCTTCAGATGACACAGTCTCATGGAAAAAGAATTTAAAAAATATATTCGATAGATAACAACCGAAATCTCTTGAACGTGTGTGAATAATTCACGTTATAATAGCAAACGATCGTTGAGCATACTGAAAGCGAATTCTCTTTACGATTTATTTGGAGAATCAAAAAGTGCAAAAATGTCTTTGATTATCGGACGGAATCAATGGCGATTTAATGAAGCGTCGGTATCGGCTGCACATGATTTCGGTTTCGCGATAATGAGACAATTTTCAATGTCGCCGACGTGATATCGCCCGAGCGCGATAATAAAACGGTGCCGCGACGTATTGTGAGGAAAACGCGCGCTGGTGCACCCTCCGTCGGATGCTGGCCGGGGCGGCCGCTTGAAATACACCCCCGTCTCTCCAGAGACAGGGGACATATTGTTTGGTTCAGTAATTCCTCGCGTTATTTCCCGTGTTTGCTTTTTATCATTGTAAACTGATATATTGTCCGGGGTAACTCCCCTCGATGTAGAAACTTACGGGCGACCGCGGGGCCAGGGGGTTGCGAGCGACGCGGCAGAGGAAGGGGCGAGACGTAATCGCTCGGACCAGTGCGGAGTTTCACTTGGCAAAATGATGGAAACGAGATTACGCGACAGCGCCGAGCTGCCTTCTTTATTTTTAGATGCGGGCGCACGGCAATGGAACACCGTTTTTTTCCCGCGTGCGAATGTACGCGCCCAAAAATGAATTTGATAGAGTGACAGCGCGCGCGCGCGCGCGCGCGCGCTGGTCTATTTTTCATCGGATCCGATATTTTTGGTCGCCCGCTGTTGGTCCGTGTTGACGTTGGAAAAAAGCTCCATTCCCCATTGTGGACAGTGGCTTGTTTTCTAACAGCAATATGGACGGAAGTACCAGATAATTTAATTAGAGGGCGATTACGTTCACCTAGAAAACAGAGAACGTTAATAAACGGGCAAACAGGTGAGTTGTATAAGTGGAGAATTTTCACGCGAAGAGAGAAATATATAATGAGACAGAAATAATGAGAAACGAGTGGGGGAAAATAATTGGAAAATTATTTGAAAGCCTCGAAGGGGATAAGGGAGGGGATGAATCCCTGCATCTAAAGTAAACAACAACTAGTCTGATCTTCTTTATTCCATTTTTTATTTTATCACCCTATCACGGTCATATCGATATATGATATTTTTCCTTGGCCGATCGTTGGCCCGTCATCGCTGAGATATTGTATTGACACGCACTTCGCGTCAATGTTTGAGCTTGAACTCTCGAGTGTCGCGTAAGTACTTGCGCGCGACACTGCGATACGTACGCTCGTCATATGGCGTGACACGTGCGCCAACGCTAAACTCGTTGCACGGCAAACAACGAATTAAGTCTTAGCGGTCGTCGCACTTCAGACTCGAATCAAATTCTCTCTAGTTTGAAATTTGTCGATCAGCTGTCGCGCGCGGGCGCGCGACGAGGCTAAGACGGATCTGCGCAGTTGATGATAAATACACATTTCTATCAGGTGTTACATACAAAAGGATAAAAACGAAAAGATAAACCACGATATCATTCCCATGTTACACGTCGAAGCGACAACATGCGTCTTGAGAGTTGGGATTAAGAGCGCCAAACGACCAAAGCCACTTAGACGCGGAATACAGACGTTGTTACGCAGCCAGATAACACGGTGCACGTATCGCACCAAACCCTGAAAAGGTGCTAAGGCAGTCATCCGGCGTCGCCCTCGAGTCCATTTAGAATTCAGGTACAGTTCGAAACTCCGAGATCTACACAGCGATGAAGACAGAGCTATCGGCGAGGCGTAATTCGTGCTGCTCTTCAGTTAATTACGCGAGGGAGGCATTGATACCTGAATGGTAGGAGCGAGGCACGATGTTTAAAGGGCAACGGTGTAATCGGAAGAAAGGCGTCGAGGCGCATCGCGCGGCGTCGCTGGTAAGTGGGGTGCGAGTGAACGGTGGTAGGTGGCTGAGGGCTGAGGTGGTAGCAGAGGTGTGGTTGCCGGCGGGGGTCGTCGTCTTAGCGAAAGCTGGCATGATCTAGCACGGAAGACAGGAGTCTGTCTGTCTTTATCAGCCGGCCAGGTAGAGCCGTCGAACCGCCGCGCTACCCCCGTCACAACCACCCTCTTCCACCCTTCGGCCGTCTAGCCGAGAGCTATGCCGCCGATGAGAACACCCGATTGGCGTTTCTCTCTCGAACGAGGGAGGACATCACGCACCCCTATTGGCTCCTCGCGAATCCATACTCGGTATTCATTCGCCATCCCATTCGTCGACCCCTCGCGGGGCCGAAATCCCGCGTTCGTCTCCTCTCCTCTCCCTTCTCCCTCGCGTCCTCCACCTCCTCGTTCGACACCCTTTCGCGAACGACCGTCACGACTCCAACCCTCTCTCACGGGGCACCTTTACAATGCATTTCACCGCCGGCGCTTTCACCTTTCACCACGGAGATATTTCTAAATAAATACTTTTTTAATAAGCGTCAGTCGAGTAGAGCGGCGTTACTGCAGTGCCATTTTGTATGTTTCCGTGCTCAGAGAGAATATTGGATTCCTCCGGCGCCGCGTCGGCAAGAGGCTTTCCGTTCCGCCAGTTTTGTCACTTCGATCTCTGCGGCGTCTAGTTTGATTTTAATTCGCAATCGGATCGGCTGCTCGGAGAGAGAGAGAGAGAGAGAGAGAGAGAGAGAGAGAGAGACAAATCGAGCTTAATTCCGTCAACGGGAAATTTCTCTTACATCGAGAAATATTTTGAGATGAGAAGCGAGATCGAATCATTTTAATGACCCGCGCGTGTCGTTTGAGCAAAAATCTCAGCAAAGGCCAATGTCTGCCCGAACCAGATGCGACGTTCGCAATAATCGTCTTTTTTTTCAAAAAGATCATTTCTCTCTTCAGGTAACCTACCGGAACCAGACGAATTAGGCTGCATCGGTTGACTCATCGGGATGCATGAGAGAGGGATAACCAACGACCAAGATTAAAAGTCATGCGATGTCGTTGAGACATCAGCAAGCAACGAACTCGTAGCGTTTAAGAATCCGCGAGAGAGAAGGAGAGAGAGAAGGAGAGAGAGAGAAGGAGAGAGAGAGAGAGAGAGAGAGAGAGAGAGAGAGAGAGAGAGAGAGAGAGAGAAAACCATGTCACATCACCAATAGTTCCTCCGTGCGACGTCGAGCATGAGAGAGCATCGGCGATACCTGTTTCCCCGAGCGGCGGCATGGCTCGGTGGCTGGCTCGCTGGCGAATTGGGCCAAGAAGAAGCCGACGCCTCGGCTCGCGCTCGAAAGGGGATCGATGCAAAGTGTCGAACTCGAGCGAGGAGGCTTTCGCCTGCACTTTTGACGTCGGCGCTCGCACCTCGCCCTTCCTGCGCCGGGAGTGAGTCGCGGCGGCGCTCGCGCGCGCGCGCGCGCGCGCGCGGCGGGCTCGAGCAACTCGCGCGGCAGACAGAAACGGAATAGCCGTGCCGTGACATCCTGATAAAAGCAGGAAGGAGAAAACGCGGCGGACGGCGGAACACGACGGGGATGAAGGATTCCACGGGGTGTCGAGCAACGCGGGGACGGACCGTGGTCGCTCCGCCTATCGCACCGCCCACGCCGGTGGTTGTTGTTGCCTTCCGCTCCCTCGTCCTTCACCCTTCGCGCAGCTGGGACCTTCTCGCAGCTCGCCAGCAGGCAGCGCACACACGTCATCCTCACCAGCGGCGAACGGCGACGGTTGGAGGCGCCCCGGGGTCACCCGTGATCCGTCCGCGACCCATCGGCGATCGTCGGACTCGTCAATGTGGACATTAGGGACTGCCTCGGAAGTGATCCAAGCCGTGTATTTTGGGTGTCACCTCAGCCGAGGAATAGTGGGCCTGATTGGACCTCGCAGTGATTGAGGTCGATCGGCTGAGATTGCGAGATTGTGCAGCTGAGGACCGAGCGAGAGGATCGGAGGACGACGGCGGGGGATCGGTCGGAGCTGTCGAAGAAGGAACTCCTCGCGATCGGATGAGGATGATCGATCTCGATGATGTTTAGGCAACATCGGTCTCGGTTCAAAGTGATTCCTCAGGTTCGAGTCTTCGGTTCGTAATCGGTGGTCTCGTGAGTAGAATTGACAGCTCGAATCGCGGTGATTGCGAGTAAATGAACGATGAAGCGGGAGGAGCATCTCGACAGTAGTGTGGGCTGTTGGTGTCTATGAACATGGTGGACATGGAATGTGAATCGATCAGAGCGCGGCAACTGGGAATATGTCGATAATGCCGATGGACAATCAGGACGGTGTGAAGTTCAACACCGACGTTTCGGCTGCCGGGCTGCCTCGGATGCTCCATTCTCGCGATGAAGAGAACCAGAGACTCTTGAGCTCGGTGATGTCGGTCCGCGTCGCGATGTGTGCAATCTGAGATTGACCGCGACAGAATTGTGCAGTTACCGCGAACGGCATGCAGAACGCGTAGCGTGGCTGGTGGGAAGAGACTTTACGCGAAACTCGAACTGTAATCGATGTTGCACGTTTGACAACGAGTCGGAAATCGATGAAAGTGTTCGGGCTGGTAGGGAAGGAGTCGTGTTGTGAGCTGTGTTGCCGGGATCGAGATTAGACGGTGGCAACATTTTCACAATTCCTGTGAGTATGCACAACACAAGGAGCTAACAATTCGGTCTACGTACTTACTTAGAGCTTGTTAACAAACTAATACGAGCGCTTTACATTCTATCCGTGTCTCGCTTATGTCTCGCTAATCGTCACCAAAACTCTGCTCTGAATGAGAAACTTCTTAAGCAGTAATATGAAAATTTGCGATATATTGGTGAAAGAGGCGTTATCCGCGAAAGATTCAGTGTAATATACGTTGGAAATGTGTATTGTTGTCATTATTACTGTAAAAAGACACGCTGGTCGATTTTCACGATGAAGATCGTTATAACGATCGGACAATATTCCGCTTGCGACAGTGCAACGCGCTCGTGGACGCGCGCGTATGCGAAGATTAAGAAACGAAAGCTCATTAATCGCGAGGGATAAGATATGGGATCAAAGGCTCGGCGTAATTAAGCAGATTTCGTGGACGGATGAAACGAAGAGATTTCACTTTCCCGCATCCGGGTAGTACTAAATGGATTAAAACGCCGACGTCGTTGTCGCGTCCTGTTCCTTCGCGCTGAAAGCGCGATGTTATAACGCGCGATTATAAAACCCATACGACGAGAATGTGAACGGTTGAACGGTAAACAATTTATACGTAATTATCGAGTCGTTTCCTGCCGAAAGAGCGAGTAGTTTCAATTCTCGCGAGGTTTACTCCATCACTCACCTCAATTGTCACGATAGATTCGATAAGAACGCGATTGAAAGCGAATATAGAAATGTCACGATAGCATCACGAGGACGTCATCTTTCGGTATTATTTTCGTTAATGATAATCAGAATGAAAAAGCGTCAGAGAAAGAGAGAAGTTGAAAGAGAACGTAAAAGGAGCTCAGAGAAGTTCGAGGCGTAAGACGCGATGCGCAAACCTGAAAGGAAACAAACATCGCGGAGACGCACGACGCACAAATAAATGGTCTCCTTTAAACTCGGACAGCTCATTTTCGCCGCTGCAACTTCATCTGCCGCGACATTATCGCCTCATCCGCGGAATTGTGTAATAAGCAGCCGATATCATCTCTCTCACTTCGTCACTTCGCTTTCTTATCCGAACACCCGACCGATCCGGTTTACCCGCGAGACTACCCTGTCTCCGGGGAAGAAGACGACGAGGAAGAAGAAGCAGAAGAAGCGGAAGACGATATCGGCGCGAACAATACTCGTGATTAACCACGTCGCCCATCTGCGCTCTGCAAACACACACACACACACGGCGCGACCTGCCTCTTCATCTTCTCCCCTTGCTCCCTACGACTACTCGCCGATGTCGTTATTGCGCGCGATGTATCCTCCTAACGACGAAAAACATTTAGCATCCGGGAGTACCCCGCGGGAACAGTGGCACGGCGATCGTCACGAGGGGGCCGCGACAATTCGCGTGTTATACAGCGCGGGCATGCGGTAACCCGTAAACAACAAAACGCACGTTCGGAGCGGCAACGCGGCGCGGCGCGGCGGTGAGTGCCACTGGAAATTAACGAACAATTAGCCAGCCCCGTCCGTGTTTTATAAACATGGTGCTCCCATCGACGGCCATTATTTTCGAGGATTCGCTCGCCTGCCTGCCTGCCTGCCTGCCTGCCTGCCTGCCTGCCTGCCTACCTAGTGCGAGCGACTGCCTTCATGTTCGAGCGTGTCCGAAGTATCCGTGTATTCGAGCGGGTACTTAGGGCTTTCGAGCACCGCGCCACGCAGAGGGCACAGGGGCGGGGGCTCACGAGGGGTTCTTGTAGTGTTTCGTTGCGCTTAAAAGCGCGGGGGGTTGCGGAGCGGCGCGGAAGGCGAGGCTGCTTTGGTGTTGCAGCCTCTTCAAACCTCGTGCAAACACTCCGGAGCGGAGCGTTCGCCTGGTACGGCGATTAATATCCCAATAAGGCCTCGTTCACCGAGCTCACTCGACCGCGCAGCTTCGTTGTTTATTCATTGTATCGCCTCTCCTCACCCGCGGGATAAACTGCCTCGATGGCCGGCCGTCGCGGACGGCGCGTTTTGATTCCTTGTTTTCGAACAAGGAGTTTCCTCCTCCGAGCGAAGATTGGAAAATGGCTTGCGCATCGTGTTGCATGATCGGCGTTTACGCCGAGCGAAAGAAGAAGCGAGATTTCGTCTTATCGAGGCGTTATATCAACGAAAGTGTTGACAATAATCAACGGTATAAAATATTAACAACGGTCAACACACTCGGACGGGCGATCTTTCATCACGTACGTGTGTGTGACTTCATTTTTGTCGTAATAATAACAACGATCTCTAATCGCAATATTATAATCAAATGGTAGATTTACAAGTCGATGTGCAAGGAGAATATTCGCCTCTTCCTTAGATGCGACCTAAAACATTCCCCCGTTCTGTAAGACAAATATTTGTCCGCGTATGTGCGACTGACAAAATGTTTAAACCAATTTGGGATAATGATTCAGAGAGTGTGGTTTGCGCGCGTGTGCGTTTCACGAGTGTTGTTTGAGAGAGAGAGAGAGAAAGAGAGAGAGAGAGAGAGAGAGAGAGAGAGAGAGAGAGAGAGAGAGAGAGAGAGAGAAAGAAGGCGACTCTTCTGGTTCTCTTATTTCTTCGAAAGTAACGGAAACATGTCACGGAGAAGCTTCTTATATCGCGCGATGACTAGGCTCGTTTCCGCGACGCGATGGTGCGCGATTTCGGTCTTTGTTACGGGCGCACGTCAAATTTGTCATCGGATATTACGAGCGCACCTGACGAATCTACAACGGCCGAGTAGCCGAGTTTAACGCGCGCGATTAGCATATTTATCGGGCGCGCTGTATCATTTCGCTCGTCGGTGTTAAAACGGGGCGACACGCTGCGACGTTAATTGCCGGCGCTGAGATATGACCAGTTCGGACCGAAAAAACTTGATATCGCTTTATTGGTCAATCCGCCCAATTATGCTCGACGCGTGTTAGAGGGTTCACTTTTATTTTACGCGAGTTTTATTGCGATGTAAGCGGAGTGAAATTTCGCGCTCGCGCGGAAGACCATTTAATTAACGGGCGAATATCCGCCCCGTCGGGCGTAAATTCGCCGGTTGCGCGACGGCCGGCTGTCCTCTCGGAAATTGGACAATTTAAGGAGGAAAATTGGACGGATTGGACGCTCGACGAGGAGACGGTACTTCGAATAATAGCTTTCTTTCCCGCCGGTATAAGGCTCCAAGATTGATGTAAAAAAAGAAAACCCCGGGAACCTCGGATAGATAGGCGAGACGTTCAGAAATTTCATCGAGTGCCTGAGTGCAATAAGAATGATAGTGGACTGTCGAACCACTCGACCAGCGGTCCCTTCGAATTTCGGGAGTAATTGTACATAGTTTTCCGACGTGGCGAGATAATGAGCGAGGATCGTTCCGCTCGAAGAAACGAAACAATGGATACACCGAGGAGCGACACACTGTTATGTAAGCCGCAAGTAAAAGAAAAAGAAGACAGATTGTTCAGTTTCACCCCCACGTTGCTCATGTGCAACGGAAGAGAGCGCGAGAACGTCCTCGAATTCAATGGGACCGCCGCGACTTCCTTTCTCGCTTTATTTTCCCCGGCGTGGAGTCTCGGGCATTATTACGCTACTTGATTTCGCATCGAGCCAGCTGTCTCCGATTATTCGCTATAGAAATTTCGGGGATTCCGGTTCAAAGGGGACCCTGGCATCCTCCGCTAATATTTGAGGAGGCCCCGCAGTCTTGGGTCTTACCGGACGTTGCGCGGGCTTTCTCGTTCTGCGCTCATCCTCGAGCCCTTTTCTCGACGAATAGACACTTCTCGATTATGCAGTCGCAGGCTGCGTCATATTGTACGGCGATTTTTACAGGCTTAAGCGAGGATACTCGTCACTTGTCGTAAGATTCGATGGACTTTTGCGTTCCGCTGAGACCTCTTCTCTCTCTCTCTCTCTCTCCTCTCTCTCCCTCTCTCTCTCTCTCTCTCTCTCTCTCCTTCCACCACCACCCTGAGAATAAAGATAAAACTTTAACACCTATCGTTCGGATCACGCGAAGGCTTTAGTTATATCCAATTAACGTTATTAACGCAGTTAATATATCGCGTCTCTCGATCTTGCGAAATTGATGAGGTAACGCGCTTTGCTGATTAGTGATATCCCCGGTTCGGAGAATTCGTCCTCCGACGGCGCCGCCCCTCGCGAAATGCCTTTTCATCGAGTGATCCCATGAGAAACGATGCGGTGAGACGAAGCTCGGGGGGATCACGCGAGCCGGAAGAGTAAACCCGAAGTATTCTAAGTATCCGGGCGGCAGGGACACCGAATCGCGCGCGCGTTGCCCGCGCGGAGTTTGAGGTTCGCGGTTTAAGTTTTCTACAACTACGCCTTCCCACCGTGTATATTCCCGGCTCGTCTTCACCCAACACTTCGCTTCGCACCGGGAGAACCCTGGCGAGATGGTTGGCTCGATAACGCTCCCGGAACCGGGATTTTTCTTCCTCAATCGTGCTTACCGCTCGTTATTAAAACGCAGTTTAGATCGAACGTGGACTTTGCTTCGCGTGGACATGTCTCTCATTTTTTTCCCCCCGACGACAATCGCGTTACTGTAACGCGGTGACAAAATAACCGACAATTTTCACAACTGTCGAAACTTATCCCGAGCGTGTCGGTGACTCCCGTTGTTTCATGCGCATCAACACATTCCACGTGGTGGCAAATGTGTCACCACGACGATAACGCACTCCGCACCTTCCGCTCGATATCTCCGTTAAGAGGAGGTGGAAAGAAGCGCGGTGGGACGAAGCGTGTGATAAGCGATTAACGATTAGTGGAACTAATTAGCGCATGCCCCGAGATCCCGGCCGGATCTGAAAGCGTACACCACACCAGATTCTCGAATCGCTAATCGCTTATTAAGAGCTCCGTTCTGCTGAACGCGAGCGTTTATCGCGGGTCATCGGTGACCCGCGTGGCGTGAACGGCGAGTCATGTAAAAGAATTGCCGCAGCGCGGCACGGGGAGCATTT